AACAACATCTTTTTACTGTCTAAATTTTTGCTATGTGTGTGTGGGTGTGTGAGATTTTATTTTATCTGGTGTTACATTCAAACAAGCTCTAGCTTTCTTGTAATTTCCTTGTGTTCTTTACAAAAAAATAAATTCATTCATTCATTCATTCATTCATTCATTCATTCATTCATTCATTCATTCATTCAACACTAATTTCATAGTAAAGGCTTTCTTTCTGATAAAACGATAGAATTTGTTCTTTTCTCCATTTCTTGCTTTTCTCTCTATAGTGTGCATAGAAAGAAAAAAAACATCGAGTCAAGTAGTATAGTACAGAAAAGAATATATAGATACATCGTCATTCTGTTATACGATAGTTCCATATTCTTTTTCTCAGGTATATTGAATAACACTGTTCTCAATTTTGTTTCCAATCAAATTACCGGTGAATTTTGACGGTTTGCCTTATTGTCAATATTTTTCAGAACAGAAAATTCAATTGTAAGTGGAACTACTCCTAGACTTGCTTGTATACTCATAACTGTATACAGCACAGACAATTTGTGTTTATGCCTCTATGATTAACGGTTTAGAGATAAACTGTTTAAAGTTTTGTTTCTGAAATAGGACAAAAATATCGGTGGCAGTAACTTCCTTTGAAGGAATCTTCTATTTGATCATGAATCTCCCCCACGTACAATAAGTGGAAAAGTTATTCTGTAAGCTATTGAAGTTATTTAAAACGATTTGAATTCCTTCAGCAGAAGCGAAAAGCTTGTGCCTTTACGACTTTAACTTGTCATATGGACACCTCTATATCTCATAAACTAGAAGGGATCCTTTTCTATAAAATAGATCAATATACAGTACGACTTGTGTACTTCGAATTAGCATAAAAAGTAGAAAAGGGGCATCTCTAATTCACATCAAACTGTACGGAACCATACAGAAGGGTAGCAAAATCCGTTATCGAAATGAGTCACTTCTGATGGTGACGATGATATCGTACTTCGTGTGCTTTAATGTACTTTGGAACAATGAAAAACGAAAAGAAAGAAAGACATTTTCGTTGCTGCGTGTGCTATATATTGTCGACAGAACACGCAAAGAACACACACTCCAATTTCCATAGGTAACCACACGTGCACCTTTCTGTGGTTATCAAAGCTGAACTCTTAAAAGTAAAAACTACATTATTTTATAACTGCTAAACACTACTAGTGTCTGGATGATTCCAACTAACACCTTCTTCAATTAAGCGCGTTCTTACTACAGAGACCATCGAACAAATTTTTTAAAAAGAATTTTACTTATCCTGCACGCACTAGAAAACGATCGTTTAGGGGTTGACTCGATCTTAGGAAGGAGAGCGTCGTTTCAGATTCACATACCATCTATTAGTATAAACATGTAAAGGAAAAGTAACGAACGATCTGTCTGGTTCTGATAGTGTTTGGATACCCAAAGCAAACAATAGATGTATTAAGAAAGTTTTTATTCTTCGTTTAGAGAAGTTTAGTGGTTATAATACTTCTCACAGCCAAGTATGTCAAAAAATGAATTAGGACGTATTGTGATTATTGGAGCAGGTCCAGGTGGTCTAACGCTGGCACGTATTCTTCAACTCAAAGGCGTTGAAGTCAAAGTTTACGAACGAGAAAGTTCTATTGATGCTCGATCCCGAGGTGGAACTTTATATCTACATGTGAAATCGGGACAATATGCTCTTCGAACTGCAGAGTTATATGATAAGGCGCAACCATTCTTTCGTCCTGAAGGACAGGATATGCGTGCATCATCGGTAAATCTGGTGTAGTTCATTTTGAAGAAGTGTCTGAAGACCATAAATTTCGATCGTCCCGAAATTGATCGACGATCTACGACAACTACTTCTCGAATCCCTAAAAGTCAATACCATTGCAAAAGACCACACTTTACAGAGTATAGAATCGCTAGGTAATGGTCAGCATAAACTTGTATTCGACAACGGTGACAGAGACTGCGGATTTGCTCATCGGTGCAGATGGGGCATGGTGAGTTTTCCCAAAAGTTGTTATAATGAATACTATATACAGTAAAATCTGAACATCGTCGGGACCGACAAAAAATGTTTAGTATACAAGGTATTCATAAATGAGAGGGACAGGCAAATATAAATAAAAACATCAGTTTTAGCCAAGGGGAAAACAACGAAGACTTCAGCTATGAAGTCTTGAAGTCGGTTATTTTCCCATAGGTTTATCACTTTCTGCGTACTTAATTAAATTCATGATTCATTTTACGCTTCACCTTTTCGTTTAGATTAGGTTCATAATCACTCGTATATTCTCCTTTTCTTCTAAGAATATCTGATACGGTATCGATGGATATTTAAAAAAAAATACCTAGCCCGATTGCTTTTACAAACTTGTTGATACAGAAAGAAATTAATCCTTCTAAGAACAAAAAGATATTTTCAAAATTCGTCGTGCACTTTTTTACCCATAGGCCTACTGGTCAGAATGAAATAAAAGAACTTTCTCTGTTGTATCTATGGAGGCTTGATGCGTCTGCAAGATACGCTTTTTCAATTCAACTCATGCTTCATAACGTTTGATCTCATTTACGGTTACAAAAACCTCCATTTTACTTTTTCATACTCACTTTTCCATGGCGAATTAGAAAAAAATATTTTTGGAATTATTAAGAAAGATTAAAAGGTTCAGTTAGTTTTGAAAATTACGCGATTCTGGAAGATTTCGTAAAACTCCTCACTTTAGCTCTTTGTTGCTCTGCTTTGCTCTTTGTTTCCGTGTGTGTTCTTTCTCTTCGGAAGTGTTTTCATTTTACTTTCAAAAATAAAAAAGAGACCTGTTATCACTGGAAAACAACTGTTCTATTATCATTGATAGATTAGGCGCAATTGGGATCTCGGTATATATTGTCCGTTGTTGGCTAAAAGAACGAATACGTAAAAAAATGACAACATAAAAGTTACACACTGAAATCTAAAGAAATTCTTCTTTTTTATACAGGATTAGTGAAACGTTTAAGCTATCGTACAGCTGATGAAGATATTAGGAAGAAGGTTACTGAAAAAGTTAAAACACAAAGTCACTACTTCAATGCTGAAACTGGTTATACATAGGTCTATTCAATTGAGACAAAGTATGAAATTGAACAAGAAATTAAATTACTTAAAACATCGACATTAGAAGAAATTATTGAAATACATAATCGAATTAAGTTCGAATTAAAACAAATACAAGATATTGATAAAATAAGATTCGAGAATTCAATTTTATAAAGAGTTTAACAATATAAGAACTTATAACACTTACGGTTTGTGTTATTCTGTGCCATGCGTCGTTTTATAGTGTTAAACTAAATTGTCATTTCAGCACTTTCAAAAAGAGAGTTAGAAAAGAAAGAATTCTATATTTTCCAGCAAATGTGTGCTAATTATGAAATTACTCTAGGTTTTGTCGTATTTACAAAATAAAATTAATTAGAATGTATCCTCCTCTAATTTTTATACCAGTATGAAATACCCAAGTTGTACTCTCTGCCGAAGTATATGGCCGAAAAAGATACATTTTACTTTCTCAAATAAAAGAATGCCAATATTACAGCTCAACATGAGGAAAATATGCACCTTTTATTCCTATAGTAAATAGGGGTATGAGGATTTATATGTGTAAGATTATACGAACATAAATCGTGTATAAATTTCATTCTGATAGAGTACAAGAAGTATACAAGATTGTTCATAAGCTCTGTATCTTATTGAATATAAGTAAAAACATGAAAGAGAACAAAAGATAAGAAATGGAAAAAGATTCTTTTAATAAAAGAATAAGCAAAAATGTAAGTACTGTACAGAGGGGAAAAAAGTTTAAGAACAAAATTCTATTTCGTTTTATTATACTAAGAGAAATTTGAAAGAATGCTTTGACACAACCATACCCATACCTAACGAACACAATTTTGAATTAGAAGTACATATCCAAAAGGACTGTCAAAATGTTTTTAAGTCTCATGCTCAAAATAAATCTATCAGTATGCCATTATATGTCACCAATCGATGTCGTTTATCTTTTCTAAATCTTTCAATGAATAAATCTTAAACCTCAAAATGTAGCTTAAAATTTGAAATATCTTCAACAAATAAATCACCATCAGTTGCATGTTCCCACTATGTTTTACCCGATTGTGGTTGATAGCTTTTTGTAAACTTAACGCCACGTGTTATAGCCGGTGTTGGTTTGCCGTTTGAACTCTCTGATTCCTCTTTGACCTGCTGCTTGTTTTTTCCTAACTATGAATACTGCGGAAAGCTCACATGTAACAACAGTTAACATACGGAGTAGCAGTCACAACACCGTCCTTCACCCCATTAATTACCTCAGGTAGTATGTTTGAGTCTTGTATAATCTCTTGAAATGCGTACGCCATCATTTGTTTATGGTTAATTTTAAAGAATTTTGTCGGAGTAGAATAAATAATGACGGTTTCCCCCATAAATAAAAAATTCCAGTGCGGCACTGGTAAAAGCCATGACATCGGTCACTGGCGATTCGCCAGTTTTATAAATATTAAAAATATTTTACATCATCATGTAATGTTATTAACGATTTAATTATAAGTAATGCTGAACCCAAACATTGTATGATGGGAAATGAAAACAGACATAATGATTCGAGTTGTGGCCGACCTGTTTTTGAACGGCAAAAGTATAAGAATATTCGAGATACGATTCGTAAAACATCTATCGACACTCATATTTTTAATGAATGAAACAGAAAAAATGTCACAGGTTTGATCTACTGTGAGCTCTAGGATCGCCAGTGGCGAATAATTGAACTTGAAAATTGTTATCTCTTCACTATTTATCTTCATGTTGTTAATTAGTCCAGTAAATTTAGACAAAATTCTATGGTTTATAGGAATACTAGTACCTAGTGGCATGGAGATGGAACGAAGATAAAATACTGCCATTTTGGAAATTTTCAACAGACAAAAATGCTTACCTTTTCTTAAAGTGAGCGGAGACGGCACGGGACTGATATTTTAAAAATGTGCAAGACCGCTACCAGTTTACAAATAGAAGTTCTTCCGAATAGCTTTTTTAACATCGTTTTACCATAGGGATAAAGCGCAACTGATGCTAATCAGAGGTGGGCAAGTCCGACCATTTTCAAGTCCAAGTCAAGTCAAAGTCCGACAGAAATTTTATTTGTGAAGTCCAAGTCAAGTCCAAGTTTGCTGAACGTTAAATCAAAGTCAAGTCCAAGTCGAGTCCAATTCCAAATGTACGACAAGTGCAGGGTAAAGTTCGATTAGAAGCGCGCCAAGAAGACCACTGTCGACTGTGTGATTTGAAAGCCAAAGTCCATGTCTGATAGAATTTTTGTAACACAAGTCGAATTCCAGTTTCAAAGAGAAAATTTTTTGCTTGAATAACAATAATGTATGCTTGATTACAAAAAATACAGCCAAAACATCAAATATCAATGAGAACCAAAGTAACCACCGAAAAAAGAAAAAAATCTAGATTCGACTAAAATTGGATTTTAATAATGTTAAACGTGACAAAGTCTCTTTTGTCATTGTAGCTCTATGTGGTCTAATAAGAAATCCACTTTGTGAGAAAACACGCTCCACCGGTGCTGATGTTGCCGGTACGCATAATAATTTATATGCTAATCGATTAAGAGATGGATATGATTCCTTTTTATCAAAAACTAAACAAGTTTCATCACT